TGCCTTATTTTCACTATGTTTTGTGCATCAAATTAGTACATCTGTGGTAGCTGATAGTTCAGATGGAGAACACGCTGCTTTTACAGTGGGCAGTGGTAGTTGAGGTCTGTGAGTAAATACTCTTCCAGTGTGAGTTGTGTTTGAAACAGCACTGGATAAAAAAAATGGATCATACCTAAGATTTTCCCTCAAACTAGTGTGGGAAATGCCTGTACTGTTGAAAATTGCAAGCTTTTAGGGGACTATTTCATGGGAGAAAGGCAGTTTCTCTCTGAAGTTTAACTAAAGCATGGTAGTGTTGTGTTAAACAATTCTGCAATGTCTGTAGAATGTCTTGCAGGTTCCTGTATATAACGTGCTTTCTGAAAAAGAGACCTGGGATATTTTAGTACCTGTGTGTGCCAGGCTGGCTGTGTAACCCATTCTTAGATCCTGCTCAGCATCTGTTACAACTGAGGGAGAACTTGGCACGTCTCTGACTTTTGAAGTTTCCAAGAAATCAGAGCCATCAGGAAAACATTCCGGAATGTTCCCTTGTTGATAGGGCTCCCCCTGACCTGAAATCTGCTGGACTCTGCTCTCCATGTCCTACATCCCGTTATTGCACAGATGCTCCCGTGCTAATGACACTCTCACAACCTGCAGATTTGAAGAGCACGTGGAATAAATGTTTCTCCCTCTGGAGAATGGGGGCAATAAGTGGCCCTTCTGCCTGAGGGAGATGTGCTCTTCAAATAGAGCTTTAATTGTGTTTATCTGCCTGTGCTGAAGCTCTGCAGTCAGAGGACGTCAGGCTGAGGCTGCTTTTCTGGGAGTAGTTTATGAAGGTTGCCTCAGGCTGAAAAATGAGTCCTTTGAATTCTTCCACTGAACAGGCTAATGGTACTGGTGGTCACAAGGTGACTCACTGGGAGACAAACCCAGCACGTGGAGTGGTGTGGCCATCCTCATCTGTCAGTGAAGGGGGATGGTGCTTTGCCAGCTCTGCTATGAGAAACATGCAGGGAAGCAGCATTGCAGGGAACTCCTTAATTCCAGTTAATGTTTGGGGAGTCTGCAGGCACAGCCCTGGGTGACTGAGAGCTTCTAGGTTCATCGGTCTTACCTTCTGCCTTCTGTTATCTGGTCACCTGCAGTGGGTCTGAGGTAAAACAAAAGTGAAACGTTCCTAAAAGTTGTCAGAACTTGTGCAGCTTAGTTGTAAAAGTTACAACTCACTGAGTTACTGCTGCTTTTATGCAATAAAAAATAGAGGTGTCTTTTTACCTTGGATTTCCTGTGGCTGAAAACATCAGCTGAACTTTGATAAACTGATTGCGTGTCAATGGTGTTGTACTGATGAGTCTTCCCAGGCACGCTGAATATAGATGTGAATATCTGATTGTGCTTGATGTCATGTCACTGTAAGAAAGAACTGGGAATTCACAGGATCTTTGTCTTGGATCTTCA